AACATAAATTATGAAAAACCTTTGTCACCCTAGAAAGAAATGTACATTTGTTCTTTTTGTAAACATAGGTAGAGCCCAATTTTTAATTTTAAGTCCCTCAGAAAGTATAAGGGCCAAAGTAGAAAACACAGATAAATAACATTAGAAGCAGTGCTCCCTTATGATCAGAAGACTTGATCCATTCTAATACAAGCTTGCCTCAATCTGCACTGGCAAATTCCCCTGCCACTATTTTAGAAAAGGTTGGCTGGAGATAATGTGGGTTTGTTTATATGTTTTACTTCTTAGGAATGTAGCACTGAAACTTTTGTATCTCTGGAGAGATAACATTATAAGAGGAAAAAATAAACATTTGTCTTAACATGTGTTTGGCTCAAAGTATTTTCAGAAAAGATAATTTATTGGGAATTGTATTCACTAGAAATGGGCACAAATTAAAAAATGAATCACCAAAATCATTCAAAAATTACAGATTCATCAATTTATTTTTGTATGAATCAATGCCCCCCAAAAATGTGAATCAACACATTTTTTGAGATTTTTGATTCGTTTATTTGTTTGGCTTTAAAATGGCTCCCCAAAGACCTAGAAACACCAAACACACAGGGAAGCTTTCTCTGACACACCTCTACAATCTCTACAAGTTTGGATGAATATTGGGTTTCCCCAAGCCAGCTGCTAACGGACACTCTATTGGGGGGGACCCATTTTTGTGGGTATATTACTTGGATGTCTGAAACGCAGTCTTCAGCAAACTTGGAGAGATTCTGGAGGAGAATTAGTAGAAGCTTCCCTATGATTTTGGTGTCTTTACCTGCCTGGTGGAACCTTCCTGGGGGATGTTCCTTGTGGGTGTACAACTCAGACAACTGAAACTCAATTTTACCATAATTTCTGGGCTTGTAAAGGAGAGTAAGGGGATGCTTCCCTGTGTCTAGATGCTTGGGGAATTTTATAGGGTTTTGAAGTGAAAAATGAATTGATAAATCAGAAAAGAACTGCAAATTCATAATTCATGGTTTGTTGACCTTGATGAATGAGTGACCATTTTTCTGATTCATCCCCTCTCTAGTCTTCACAAAGCATAGTTAATATCACAATCCAGCAAATATCTGCTTTGAAGTAAGCGCTTGTCTTAGCTGATTGTCTGCTATATGCAGAGTTCATT